CTCTCCGTTTGCTTGTAAAACAATAGACGGCGTGCCCGCCTGCCCAGTTCGATGGAAAGTAAGAGGCGACTGCGAGCTCGTCTTGTTAGGATCACCGATGATGGGGCATGCGCATAGGCGCAGCACTTCGCAGATGTGGGCGCAATTAAGATGTGCATCTAAATGAAAGTCAAATGTTGGCTAGGGCTCGGTTCGGACATGGCCAGGCCCCAGGCAGCTGATAAGGCAGTGACAGCTGCCGCAGCTGAACCATTGATGCGTATTTAATGGCAGCGTGTTAGACATCGTTAGACCCAAAACTCACAACTCAAAACCGGTCGCGTGGCATGAGGGTGACCTAAACTTTCCATTTTCATCTTCATTGGCTAGTGGGGGTGGCTCATCGTGTCCCCTCGAATGACCATTATTTGCACATTATTCGTCACAGAATAGACGAACATACAAGTATAAATTCTCTGTTCATTCTCCCCTATCCCCCTCTTGAGTTGGCCTAACAAATTGCTCAATTATCACGCGACAAATATTTGCAGCTTCACTGATTCCGATATTCCGATCGGAAAATTGTTTGTGTAGACTTTATGAAGCAATCGCGTTACCTGGTGACAGGTGCCACCTTTCCCAATCCCAATCCCTTTAATTTGCAGCCTCATCGCTGGGCAACGTACTGCAGAACGCTAGGAGAGAAGCGAAACAAAAACGAAATTATTCAGATAGAAGATATGACGGCTACAATCTGATTGCGTAACAAGTGGGCCAATGAAATGGGGAGATACGAGTATATGTGTGTGTGTGTGTGTGTGTGTGTGTGTGCGTGCGTGCAAATGCGTGGCCACATTAACATATTTTATTTATTCTGTTTCTAAATTGCAAACACGTCAACACGACTACAACAACAAATAAAATGGAAACTTGTTAAGAGGTGTTAGAGGCTCTTTCGGATGCCAAGACAAGCACATTTGCATTTTTCTTCATCATTTGCATATTAAAGCCATCTTGTTTGAAATTGTGGTAAGCTTTTTGGTGCTCGGCAGGTGGGTGTCGAAAGCACGAAAGCATTTGGCGCCAATGGAAGCTGCCAAGTTGCTTTAAAAGTGTTGACATCTAGATATTTAGCCGCGAAAAAAAAAATCTGGAATGCGATTATGTTGATTTCCCTTCCATATATTCATACACATTGCGAAAAGCACTGTTATTGAAATATGGAACTTTAAATCGTTAATTGATAAAAAAAAACAAGAGAGAACTCGACTGTAGAGCAAGCCCGACAGTAAAATACTCTGTACTCTCCACAAAAAAGGAAAATTTAAAAAAACTATGTAGATAGAAAGCTACAGTCGAGCAGGTGGGACAGTAAAATACCCTTTCACCCTTTGGGTACAGGGTATTTTAACTCTTAAAAACTCATTGGAAAGCAAATATTTTGTATTTAACAAGTGGCGAAGCTAAAGTCGGATTTCCCGACTTTGAAATACTCTCTACATATGTAAGTGTTGAATAAATGTGCGTGTCTATGAGTGTCTATGTATGTATGTCTCGTGTGCCTGTGCAAAACAGCAACAACAGCTGCGGCCTGACATTATATATATCGAAATAATAAAATTTGGTACACCGACGTTTAATCACTTACTGAAGGTATTTGCCAATTTTAGTAAAAAATTGATTGCATGGAAGAGGGGGGAAGGGGGAAAATTCCAAATACACATTTTCTGCGTATTCACATAAGGCATCTTGGAATACAATTTGGTGTCCCTAGGTCTTATTGTCTCTGAGATCCAGGTGTTCATACGGACAGACGGACGGACGGACAAATGGACAGGCAGGGCTAGATCGACTCATCTTGTCATGCCGATCAAGAATATATATACTTTGTGGGGTCTGCCACGCCTCCTTCTGCTTGTTACTTTTTTCACCTCCCGCAAACCCAATATACATAGTCTTGTACATTTCATGTATAGAGTATACAAATTTTTAAATCAAACGCAACGGTCTCATTGAGGCTTGTTCATTCCAACAACAATTTATAAAGCTGTTGTCGCGCTTTAAGTTTGATTGACCCATGTGAGCTGACTTTTGACAGCTGCCACATCAACTGATCCCCACGTGACTTGACCCCTTTATGCTCCATAGTGATTTTCTGTTATGTCTCAACCATTTAATAGACCTGACAGTTGTGATTATTACATTTGCTTTGGTAATTCCATAGCTGCAACTTATAATTTTCTGTCCAAAGTACGGATTAAGAATGCCGAAAATGACATTTATGTCGGATATCTGTGCGATACTCTGAATGAAGCGAACGGAAAGCTATTGCTTATGTCCAATCCTGGACAATTAGCACAAAAAATAGAATGTCATGCAACCCTGTAATCCTCCCGCTACCTAAGTCACTTCTAACTGACTGACCCTTCCATGCTCTCATAGCAAAAATTGCCGACTAATTCTATGGAATGCGGGCGGTAGACATCTAATTGTTCGTTAAAAATGCTGTCGGAAAACAAAACAAATGCCGTGGCAAGGGGATGGCCAGAGGACAGGCAACGGCGTCAAATGGAAAAGGACGGCCACGGATTCCAACGCGTGACTTAGACAAAGGCAGGCGGCATCAGATCCAACTATTTTCGGTCATTGCATTGTGTCTCGAAACATTTGGGATGTGCGAAGGACACGCTGCTTTTGTATGCAAACAAGCATGAGGGATAATAGGCAGAGGGCCGAGGGCCGGATAACGCAAATGGCGCAGGGTTCGAGCCCAGAAATTCGTGCGAGAGGGAGATGGAGATGGAGAGAAGGAGTAAGAGCGAGAGTGAGCAGAAGGTCGCATAGATGTTGTCTAATTGGGAATGCAAATGGGAATGACATTTTAATTTAATGACTGACCGGGGCAGTGAAAACTAACAGATATGTATCGCTTCATTTAAAGAGTGTCTGCAACATGGAGAGCATCGCTCGACCCACATATATCTCCAAGCGGAAATACTATGGAGATGCCTTTATAGTCGTTGCCCTTTTGGCCAGCAGATGTCGGCAACAATTTCTATTTGAAACCATGGCTTTAACGAGTGTGCCACGCCGATAAGAACTTTAAGACTCGCTCTGGCCAATAAAATAAATTTGTGCAAAAGAAATTGATAGAAAGCCGGGCCATTTAGTTAGGCAGTGAGTGGAAGGGGGTCGGTTTTCGAGACATGACAGAAATCAAACCAAATTGAATCAAATCCCACAGAAAGTGACAATAAAACTCAACGAGTGTCGGCCTCCACGCTTGAAGGTGCCCCTGTCTGTCTGTCCAGCAGTCTCGACTTGTGTGTCTGCTGTCAGTTTGACTGACTCTCTGACTGACAAGGCAAGAAGGGCGTGGATCGTTCAACAACACTTGCACCCAGTCGCATGCAAATCATGTCGAATGTCACTTCCACTGCACGATTATCCATCGCTCCAGCTGCGACCGCGCCCGCACAATTCCCACTCCCGTTCTCATTCTTCTTCTGAATGGGCTTGGACTCAACAAAGCAGTGACTGCCCTTTGTTGCTACAACAGCGAGCAGTTTGCCATTGCCTGACCTTCGACAGAGCTTCCTTTGCGACACTGACTTGTTGACTGACAGAGGATTCTTGGCCCAGCACGTAATCGAATACAAACGCGCTCTGGCACACATTTAGGAATGGCCCGAAGGAAGTAGTTTAATTTTCGGGTCTGCACTTTGGTCTCCGTTCTTTCGCGGTCGCCCAAAAGGGGTAGGCAGAGAACGGGCTCGTCCATTGTGAAGATGCAGGCGACAAATATACCGCCTTCCCTTCAGTTGAAGGTGGATGCAAGGCTCGACTTGAAATGTTCCGCGCGAATTGTTTGGACAGCTGCGGCTATTACTGCTACTGTTTCGCCTCTGATTGCTGATTGGGTTGCTGTACCACAGCCCCTTCCTCTGGTAATGTGAGCTCTTTTGTTGTCAAACAGCACGCTAATTGAACTTTGCCCTTAAGTTGAGGAGCCTAACAAGGCGCGTCTCTAACAGGAAGGCCCTAACGGGGAAGCAATACATACAAAAGTATTATTAGGCGTAGCTTTCCATTAATAGTGTGTAGATACTTAGAATTTGATACTTTTTAAAAATTCTTAAAATATTCATTTTAGCTCATTGGTCAATAAAGTAAAATGGGAACTGTATCAAATATCATAATATTTAAATGAATGTCCGACGAAAATAGACAAATACTTGAAGTGAAGCGGCTATATTTAGGTTAAGGTTTCCCTACCATAGTATTTGGTAATTTCAAGGAATATTTATGCGTTTGAAGGGCCTGAGCCAATGAAAAGTTCAAAAGTTTGATCCCTGCATCGAAATAATTTGCATAGCTTAAATATTTATGTACGTTACGAAACTCGTAAGTCACTTCTATTTAACTTAAAAGAATTTAATGAAAATTCGTTTTAAATCGAATCCTATATACTATGTGTGCTAAACAAGCGTAATATATGTTTGCACAACTGGTAGTATCAGAAGCATCGGAATAAAATTAATTAATTCCGGAATTTATATTGCAATATATTGGCTTCACTCGCTGTCACTGACAAGCCGTAGAATAATTGTGCGAGCTCTATCTTATCACAAAAATGAATGGAGACGCTGGCAATAAAAATTTTCCCGTTTAAAATTGGTTTTCAAACAATGCGATATTCTTGATTTATTTGTAACTGTAGCATTAAAATAACTGTTACTATTTTTCCATTCATTCTTTTATAATATGAGCAAACCTTAATACTACTCTACTACCATACTACTAAATTGCACAAAAAAGTAGCAGAAAATACTACGATGAATGGAATACGACGATTTCCGAACACACGCACGAACGAACGAACGAACAAACGAACGAAACCGGCCTGAACCGGCCATAGGGTTGTTGTGGCACTGGTCCGAGACTGTCGAAGATGCTAGTGTATTTCAGTCGTTCTTCTGTAATGAACGAATTCGGAACGTAGGAGCGGTCTGGTCTCACTACGTCGTCACAAAATTCGAAAAAGCCGCGCAAGTTATGTTGATATTTTCGTATTCTCTGCAGTTAGAAAACTATTCGAATCGCGTGTAAAGCGTGCAGTAAATGCAGAAACGACAGACAGCCAGAGCCAAATCGGCTTAAGTCGGCAAATATATGATATATTTTTGTATCTGGCGATTTCTGCTGTTGTGTGTGCTTCGCTAATGTTGGCATCTTTGTTTTTACTTCACGAATTGTTTTGTTTTGCTGCGGTTTGTTAGTGGATTCGGCCCGCAGCTAAACTTGAATTTAAGCTGAATTTGCAAAACTGCGACGACAAAACAAGCGAAAAACAATAATAATAACAACAACAACAATACGAAAAAGAAAGAAGCAAAGCATACCAAGATATGTATATATTCAGATAATAAAGCGTGGCCACAACAAAAGATACAACTGAAGTGATCACAAGTTTTGTGAGTGTGTGAAACTAAAAGCTATAACGAATCGAGATACTTGATCTATATTGTCCTGGATTAAATATATTTTTGGTATCTCGATTGATAGAGTGTGAGGAGGGCAAGCACAATGTGCTCTTAAATTTTGAGATCCATTAATAACTCGGCTCTAAAACAAGACAATTAAAATCTGAAGCATCACCATGCTGGACAAAACAAGTTCCTGCTGTTCCTCATCCACCACCATGGACTATGATGTGCCTGTCTCAAGGCGCATTCACATCAAATCGGTTAGTATAATATGTACATGTTTGTCATCCAACTCGGAGCCAAACCACGAATCATAAATGTCAGCCGCCGAGGCAGATGCGACCCCGACTGCATCTCCATAAGCTGCCAACCATTGCACACCATTCACTCATAACCCATTCAACTGGAGCCAAATGCTTGCTTATACTACGGACTCGTATCTGTGAGATGTAAAAGCGCCGATTAAGTCATTGGCAACAACATTGGCACAGCCACTGCCAAGGATTTACTACCACCTCGCACATTTCGGCCCCCACTCTTGTCCCCAACGCGTTGGTGCGCTATCTGCGATCGGCGTTGTTGTTGTGGTTGTTGCTGCTTTTTTGTCCCCGCATCTTTCAACGGCGCTTGGTCCAAGTGGCTGCCACTGCCGCCGTTTTTGTGTCTGTCGGCAGTGGTTCTTGTTGTTGTGACAGGCGTTAAACTGCACTTCGTGTCTGCGCAGGAAATGGTAACGGATTTCATGGCTAGATATCTCTCGATTTGAGTGTTTGTTGCTCGCAAAATTTGCGCCAGGCCAGTTGGCCTGTCCAACAGTCGTGAATAGAAAAGTTTCCGCAAATTTTACATTTGTTATCACCTCGTCTGCCACACCGTTTGATGTGCCAGTTATGGTCCAAGCATTTATCACAGTTGTGCGATAACTCACACAAGGTCGGGAAAACGTGGACCGCATCTTGGCTGGATCAGGTCATATACTCGTATATGGTGAGCCTATGGTGCTGTCCGCAACAGGGGGAACTTACTTCTGATAACATTTATTCAATCTCTCAAGGTCCACTTGCGAATGATCGTAATAATAAGATAACGGTATTTGTATTTGATTAGGTAATCTAAGTATGGTCGAAAATGCGCAATTCATATTTATTCGAAAGAACAGGGAATGTTGTTATCCGTTTCTATTTGTTGCTTTATTTCATTTCTATCGCTTCTAGGAAACTCTAATCTCTAATTGTTGATTAATTTGTTGCCTTCAATTACTTCTGAATTCAAGGAATAAATAAATTCAAGTGCAAGCACATACATAAAGATATGGTTTGTTGCAACGAACCTGGGTAGCAGAAAACTAAATAGAACTGCTGTCGGTTTTAAGTAAAATAACATTATAATCTTGGTATACTTTTGAAATTTTCTATCAATTGATCAGGCATAATATTCGCCAGTCACACCACACCTTTATTTAGAGTCTTTCAGAAATAGAAAACAAAGAACTTGTTTGTGCTACTTTTTGAGTAATTGCAAACTTTTAAGCTAGAGAGTTTCGCCAAACAAATGGCTCATTCATTCATATATATATATGGTGGCTATAGTTGGGCCCCTCGTACCTTTTATTAGGTAGTGCAAAAAACTTGATATTTCAAAGCATGTGAATGCTACGTATTTATATTAAATTTCTGTGGTAAAACCTCGGCTGAATAGCACCAATTCTTGCTGAAAGGTGCCTACAGTCTCTGGAGCGCAAAAAAGATCATTTTATTCTTTAGGAAATAAGATTTGTAATTACTTTCATCGGAGTATGGTTCAAAGGTGTTCAAAACAAATTCACACAATATGTAAACATAAAACCAATTTAGAAACTGATTTAAATGTTAACTATACGAATGGGCATTTGCTTTCTTAACAGTTCACAAGTAAAGTCAGTGGTTTCGTTTGATATTCAATTATTCCACAATTGCTCTAGATTCGATAAACATATTGCCTTATCGGGCAATAAAAGCAATGCCCAATGCCCTATCTAGGGAAAGAAATTCTTAAGTTCTCAATATAAACAAAATAATAATAATTATGATTCGGTATGAATTATTCATTTCTGATCATTTTGATTTAGCTGTGACCAATTAGTATTCCATTTTCATATTTTCCCGTAAGCTCTTAGGGATATTCGTAGCAAGCATGCCTTTCATCCATTCATTACCATAAGCCAATAATGAGCCAGCAGTCTGTTCGCGACTAACTCGAATGTTTGCACAACTTGACCAAAACATTAGCTCGGGCGAGGTGCAAACCTTAATGGGCAATCAAGTGCACGCGTTGCACTTACAATCGAAAAAAACATTGCTGTTACATACGAGTACACACTATATAGTGCACACTATATTCACAGATGGAAACATACATACAAGTACATACAACTACACGTATATGCAAATGCATTCGAATACACTCATTTACAGTCGCCCAGTTGAAAAGCGAAAAATTAAATAAATAACAACTAATTACAAAAGTCTCACATGTGCAGATGACGTTCTCCACATGCTTATATAGTAGACATTCAAGCCATATACGAGAACTAGTGTGTGAGGGTCTTATGGCAAATCTTGTGAGCGTAGCTAAGTTGTTGGACATTTGGACATGACCATGGACGGACAACATCACAATTACGCGATACTTGTTCTAGTCTAAGAGCCGCTGACACTAAGTACGCCATAATTAAAGGTATCCGACATAGAACAGACATCGGACAACGGATAGTGGGCTTGTAGAGTAGAGCTTGGTCCATGCATTTCGGCCACAAACAGCAAAAGCAGTAGAAGCAGTAGAAGCAGAAGAAGCAGCAGCAGCAGCAGACACATCCATCAGACAGACGCCTAGACGTAAGCCAGCCATCGCAATCGAGGTGAGATTAAAATAAATGTGCTCCAAATGCGCAAAGAGCGCAAAGTAATTGACGCTCACTGGATTTGAGGCGGAGGCTGGTGCTGCTGCTGGTACTAGGATGGGGACTGGGTCTGTTTCGGAGTTGCGACTGCAGCTTGGATTTCAAAATGCAAACAGCGGAAAACATTGTAGATGGGTTTCCGTTCGCCAACAGCAGATACGCACAGATATGTACGCGCCAAGGGTTTATTAGCATGCTGTTGACTGCTGGCTGCAGGCAATTGATAGTCTCCAGCTTATACTGGGAGTTGGACTTGGAGTTGGACTTGGACTTGGACCTGGACTTGCGCTTCGACGCACTGGCGACGCTCAAGTCTCTGAAGACGACGATGAGGACGGCGTCTGCCACTTTGACTGCCAGCTGTCCGTCGTCTTTGGTTGCTTTGTTGTGAGTTGTTGCTGGTAATTAATGGACGGGCCAGCAAATAAAATCAGTTATTAATAGCCGCTCGCTGATTTCCAGCTAATTCCAATTGATTGAAGGGCAATTGTGGCGGCAAAGTGAGAAGCTATAAATATTGACTGCCGGCGGCCATAAATCCTGTCCATAGGGCAGACCACTCACGTAGCTCAGGAAGCCAACCAGCCAGTTATCCATTCATCTATGTACGAGTATACAGCCAACTATGCAGCCACTGCCTTGGTCTTGGTCTTCCTTCGCAGAAGGCTGAGCCGAGCATTACATTTTTCCTAACGGCCACCGCACCTTATCGGGCAATGAAAGCAATGCCCAAGCGTGACGACGGCCGATAAGCTGGTCATGACCAAAGAGAATGTCAGAGCTCCTGTAACTTACTTTTTCGTTTCCATTGCCTTATCGAATAGTAAAGTAAATCTAATCACGCTTAATTGAACGCCGTCACTTTGACTGGCGACCATAAATTGTAATAGAAAACCAAGTGCTGGTGGTTTGCTGGTGGTGCTGTCTCTAATATTAATTATGTCTTTGCATGGGTCTGCACTTGCCGTTGGGAGCCCCAAAAATGTAAGGATGCACAGTGGTTGAGAATTGTAATACTCTCCTTTCAAAAAGAAAACACGCATTGAATAAAACAAAACCAAATGCGTACATTAAAATAAAATTCTTGTCCTCTACATCCCTCTAAAAATAGAAAGATTTTTCCCAATTTGAAAATTAAAGGCAACCCACCACTGTGCGGTCTTTAAGGAGAAATGAAATAAATTCAATGTTAGAGCTCGACCGCATGGTTTATCTTAATTTCCCGTCTATCTGTCTATCTGTCGGTCAGGGCATGAGGTTGCACTTCTTAAGTTTGTTAGGATAATCACAAAATGCAACTTGTTAGGGAACTGGAGACAGGTCGCCAAGGCCAGACAGTATTTGAGCATTCCAGCATCGGCTGAGCTCGACGGCAACGCTTAAATTTGATTAAGTGGCGTCCCACAGTTTAAGGGCACCTTTTACGGACCGCAAGGGAAAGGAAATGTATCTGCCTGTCGAAAAGAGAAAACCCAGAACCACCAAGAATGTTTTTTACTGCCAAGTGTAGAAATTGATTAGAATTAATGTGCGCGTGCAACGCTGACGTTTTCAATTTAGAAAATTAACACTAAACTCAGGCCAAGACAGCGAAAATACGAAGTCAACTAAAATTGATTGAACAGTCGCGTTGAAAGCCCCATGCGTACACAAAAACAATTTATCGATTTGTTGATGGAAATATATGGCAGGGTATAAGTAATATTTACAGTTTCTGTTATACGAGCACAATTCACAACTGATATGCCCATTTAAAGTTGTCATAGGAATTTCCGTCTTTTTGTGATCAGCTCTGCAGCTGTCTTTTGCACTTGAAACCCGATTTCCAATAAATCATTTCGAGTGGCTTTTCAGCCACTTTCAATACAAATGTTTACATGCAAGAGGCCTGTATGGGTCAATGCCAGACGCGAAAGGCTTTAGACTCCATACCCTAGAAAATTTCAATATTTTAAAGTAAATTAAACCGACAACGAATATGGTTTCTTATGCAAATGTTTTGTTTTCGTTTTCGAAAACAAACGAAAACAGCAAAGCAGCACTTGAAAATGCTTACAATATTGTAATGTGGATTTTGTAATGCAATTCGTGTGATGTTGCAGTTCATATACTCTATTCGAAATCAAGTACAAACACTCATATAAAACGTGCAGTAGAAGTTCGAGTCTTTGACAAAACCAAACATAGATTCGAAGAGAGGATTATTATAGCAAAGGTATCTGCAATTCTGTTAAAACAAATTTCGTAGATAAAACATTTTAATGTACGAAGGCTGGAGTGGAACCGATCGAGTGGCATTGGAGCCAAGTTCCCAACGGAATT